TAGTGTGCAATTTGTTCCAAAACCATCAGAAAGAAAGAAAGGAAGAAGCGGCCGAGACAAAACAGACTGGGGAAGAGAGAGGAAATAACATTGGGTGGCAAAGATGATAACAGACAAACTCAAAAGGAAGAATGTTAGTGGAAATATTCTGCGTTGTAACCTCATTTCCTAAGACTGTTATAAGGTCATTCTGGTAGGAAGTGTCAGAAGTGCATGTCTGTATCTTTAAGAACTAAACTCATTACAAAATAGACCGCACTAAGAATTATATATGTCTCTGATTTCCATGGTCTCCTTTGCCATTTCTCCTTTCTGTGTTTCTCCCCCTCAGGAAACGTCTGCATTGAATTGTTAATTTTTGCTCATATTTCTAAACTCTTTAGGTGCCTTTGTATTATTTCTCTGTCCTAGTGACACTCATCCAAATTTAATACTACTTGGAAATGTCACTGTTTATCCTCTCTTCCAACTCACAAATGCTGTGCTGCCCAGCTAGACACCTCCACCCATCTCAATATAAGGTTGTTCGTCACTGTTGGATCTTGAAAACACAGTGAATTCAGTATCCTGTGCTTTAAAGGATATAAAGAGTGGATTGATAATTTTTGCTCTCTTCTGATTCCCTTCAACAGACATAACTGATTGCAGCGACAGTCTGGTCCAGTGCTCAGTGATGTCAATGGGAGCTAGATCAATCCCTTATCAGCAATGTTGATGATGCACAAAGTGTAATAGAATCCAGTGCATTCCCTCTTAGATGTGTGATTTTCAGGGCCAACAGGAGTAAACAAGCAATAAAAACTTACCTTTGTCCTTAAAATCAGTAGCTATGACTCTAAATACAGCTAGTTTGTTGAATAATAAGTTACCATTTTTATGTACACTCACTTTTTTGGGTAGAATTTCACCTTTAAGGCTATAATTCCATCTTGGGTGCTCCGTAACATGAGCAAACCTCTCTAGCTTTGCCTTAATGATTCATGCCAACAAAAGCATTTGATGGAGTAAAGGCAGAGGTAAAAATATTTCTTTACTTTGGAAAATATAATCCCAACTATACATATAAAATGATGGGGTCTCAATTAGCTGTTACCACTCATGTAAGAGATCTTGGAGTGATTGTGGATAGTTTCCGACAACATCCACTCAATGTGCAGCAGCAGTCAAAAAAGCTAATAGAACGTTGGGAATCATTAGGAAAGGGATAGATAATAAGACTGAAAATATCATATTGCCTCTATATAAATCCATGGTAGGCCCACATTTTGAATACTGCGTGCAGATGTGGTCGCCCCATCTCTAAAAAGATACATTGGAATTGGAAAAGGTACAGAAAAGGGCAACAAAAATGATTAGAGGTATGGAACGGCTGCCATTTGAGGAGAGATTAATAAGACTGGAACTTTTCAACTTGGAAAATAGATTGGGGGGGATATGATAGAGGTCTATAAAATCATGACTGGTGTGGCGAAAGTAAATAAGGACGTGTTATTTACTCCTTCTCATAACACAAGAACTAGGGGGTCACCAAATGAAATTAATAGGCAGGAGGTTTAAAACAAACAAAAGGAAGTATTTCTTCACACAACACACAGTCAACGTGTGGAACTCTTTGCTAGAGGATGTTGTGAAGGCCAAGACTATAACAGGGTTCAAAAAAGAACCAGATAAATTAATGGAGGATAGGACCAGCAGTGACTATTAGTCAGGATGGGCAGGGATGGTGTCCCCAGCCTCTGTTTGCCAGATTCTGGGAATGGGTGACTAGGGATGGATTACTTCATGATTACCTCTTCTGTTCATTCCCTCCAAAGGACCTGGTATTGGCCACAGTCAGAAGACAGGATACTGGGCTAGATGGACCTTTGGTCTGACCCAGTATGGCCGTTCTTATGTTCACTTTAACATCTCCCAGGCTCTGTTGCACACAGTGTCCTCAAGAGCGGTGGTTAGAGGTATATTGTATTGCATATACTTAGAGGTTACTCAGCACACTTGGAACAAAACTGAGAGCATTGTGCCTTCCTCCCATGCCTATGTGGTGAGCTTTCCTGTAATCTTGAATGACAGGTAAGAACTGTTTTTTTTTAATTACAGTTTCACTGAGTGTTATTTTCCATCAGTGAATGACTTACAAGATGCTCCTACAGTATCAGCTGAACACTTCAGTTATCCCCAACCTGACTGACAGGCCTTTGCTATCATGCTTTGGTTTTATGTAAGTAACTGTAAGGGGTCGGACTCACCCCTGCGGCACCTCCTGCTGGTCTCTCAGGTAATTAGCTCGATCCAGCCTCCGGAGCACTCTCTGCAGGCCGGTGCCTCTTCTGGCCCCTGTGTCCCTCCCAGGACCCTGGTGCCCTTATCTGGGGGGCTGTCCCCTGGCAGAACCCCTTTCTCTGGGTTTCCCCTCCCCAATATCCCCACCTTGCCTCAGGATAAGGCCACTGCCAGTCACCAACTAGCCCCGTTCCCTGGGGCAGACTGCAGTATAGGCCACTCATTATCGGCAAGGTTGAGTTTGGACCTGCTGCCTTGGCCTAGCCCTGGGCTGCCCTCTGCAACCCCCAATACCTCTTGGCCTTCTCCTAGGCCGCAGCCTGGGGCTTTCCAGGCAGGAGATCCCCAGCTCCTCTGTGTTTCCCCAGCCCTGCTCCACTCAGGTACCCTTCTCTTTCTACAGCCAGAGAGAGAGAGTGTCTGTGTCTGAGCTCCTGGCTTCCTGCCTTTATAGGACCAGCTGAGTCTGTTTGGGGCATGGTCCCAGCTGCAGCCACTTCCCCCAATCAGCTTAGCCTTCTAGCTGCCTTCTCCCTGGGCTATCTCAGGCCCATCCAGGCCAGAGCAGGTGTCCACCCTGCTACACCACCCCCCACCCACTCAAGATCACCACCCCTGGGGGTAGGGGTATCTCCTGGCCTGGGCCAATTGCCCATGCACCTCCAGAGCTGCCTGCTTCTTCTCGCTGTCTTCTAGCCGCTTCCACAAGTGAGACTCCTCCTCGACGACAGCCTCATACTCCTTAGCGAGGTCCAAGGCTCTCGCTTTGGCCTCGCGGAGGGCCCGCTCTGCAGCTTCCAGCTGTGCACGCAAGCCCGACTCCCCCAGGCCTCTTCCCTCAGGGTCTGGGTTCCCACAGTGACCTGCTCCACTACAGACTGGGTCTCGGCCTTGTGCTGGGCCCAGTCAGTCTGGGTCTCCTCACTGGAGGCCAGCCCAGCGACATTCTGGGCCCCGACCTTCTTTGGGATCCCCTCCATCCTGGCTTCCACCTCTACCTCCAGTCCTGACCCTCCTGGGCCTACAGGCACCTCCTCCACTCTCTAGGTTCTTCTGAGGGGGCAGTGCCTCCTTATATGCTCGGGCTCCCTGCAGCCCCAGCAGGCATCCCACCTCCAGGCCTTGGTATTTTTCTTTTGTCCTTCACTGGGCCAACCCTCCCTGGGTTGCCCTGGGCTGTATTCCTGCGGCCAGGGCACTCCCGCTTCAGGTGCCCCCTGTGCCCACAGGCCCAACATGCCCTCAGACGCCGAGGTTCCCTACCCCCATGGCCTACTTGAGGGATTGGGCACCATCTTATTTTGGGGTGAGGTCCTCTGCCTCCAGCCCCATCGGGACAGTCCCGTTTTAAATGTCTGGCCTGACCACAGGCGTGCAAGCCTTCGCCATGGGTCTCCTGGCCCTGGCACTCTGTGTCCCATGCCCTCCGCGGTATCTTTTATACTCCCTCCTCAGGAGTGTTCGCACGGCTTGCTGCTCCTCCGCCAGCTGGCTGACCTGTGCCTGGAGGGCCCATAGCGCCTCCCACAGTCTGTCCTGGGTCTCTCGGGCCCCCTTCAGGCCATCAGCCCCCTTCCAGTGGGCCTCTGACGCCTAGCCCCACCCAGGGACAACCCCCAGGGTCTCTGCATAATATACCCTGGTGTATATGGGATCCATTGTCCTGTTCCTCAGTTTCTCCACCTTAATGTCCAGGCAATACCCCAGTCCTTGCCTTGCCCCTTTTATCAGGGGTCAGACCGCTTATGCCCGCATTCTCCACCACTCTGTAAGGGGTTGGACTCACCCCTGCAGTGCCTCCTGCTGGTCTCCCAGGGAATTAGCTCAATCCAGCCTCCGGAGCACCCTCTGCAGGCCAGTGATCCGCCTTGCCTCTTCTGGCCCCCCATGTCCCTCCCAGGACCCTGGTGCCCTTATCTGGGGGGCTGCCCCTTGGCAGAACCCCTTTCTCTGGGTTTCCCCTCCCCAGGGAACCTCCACCCACTATCCCCACCTTGTCTCAGGATAAGGCCACTGCCAGTCACCAACTAGCCCCCGCTCCCTGGGGCAGACTGCTGTATAGGCCACTCATCATCAGCAAGGTTGGGTTTGGACCTGCTGCCTTGGCCTAGTCGTGGGCTGCCCTCTGCAACCCCCAGTATCCCTTGGCCTTCTCCTAGGCTGCAGCCTTGGGCTTTCCAGGCAGGAGCTCACCAGCTCCTCTGTGTTTCCCCAGCCCTGCTCCACTCAGGTACCCTGTGTCTAGCTCCCTGCAACCAAGTCCTTCTCTTTCTACAGCCAGAGAGAGAGAGTGTCTGTGTCTGAGCTCCTGGCTCCCTGCCTTTATAGGACCAGCTGAGTCTGTTTGGGGCATGGCCCCAGCTGCAGCCACTTCCCCCAATCAGCTCAGCCTTCAAGCTGCCTTCTCCCTGGGCTATCTCAGGCCCTTCCAGGCTGGAGCAGGTGTCCACTCTACTACGTAACATTGATAAATAATGATTAAGTTAATATCTTAGCCATCTTGACATATTGGATAAAGCATTACAGAATAAAGTATAGTTAGTGATATATTATTGTTCATTGGGTATACTTGGCATATATCAGTGATCTTAGACATAGTGTCATCTTAGTACTTCCTTATGGGATACCCTTTACGGTACTGAACTACAGAAAAAAAAGTGTCTAAAATCATATTGGTTTTGGGAACATCAACTCTAACTGCTGGTATCATGTCCACTCACCTAAGTCCTGTGTCCATGGCAGCAGATCAGCATGACCCCGATCCCCATCCATACATATATATCTGAATGCCTCCTTGCTATTACTTCTGGAGTGACAGGTTTGGTAGCAAGTGTTGTGGTGCCATGGTTTGGAACAGCAGTTTGAATGAAGTGCTATTAAAGATGAAGAGGTTGATCCTTTACCTCTGTGGAGGAAAAATTTTGTAAGTGTGACTGGCCTGGGATTTTGCATTTTAAATTCAAGTGGACCTTAAAAAGTCAGAAAAGTCAGCAACCAATAGCAAACATACAAAAAGACAAAATTTTATTCAAATAATAAAAATTCTCCAGCGAGAGGGCCAGCATCCTCCTTATCATAAATAACATTACGATAATATTGTCCTCTGGTACCACAGTGCTAGTTAGTAAGTCTCTGTGGCTTAGCAGTTTAGTTTTATGGACCAGTTGATACTCAGGATCAGTATTATGTGATAACAGAACTGGTATCATGGTACCAATATAAACTTAGATGCAGCCATTCATAAAATAAACAGAATGTGATCATTATTAAAAAGTTAAGGTGAGCTAACAGTGACAGTACTATAATTATTTCTTTTTTAAATATCAGAGAAAAAACTGGTGGCATCTCAAATATCACTCGATGGTAATAGTTAGCAAATACTGACTTTTATAGAGAGACTACTGTAGGTTACACAGGCTTTATGGAAAGCCAACGCGTTTAGTTATGAGTGTATTGATTTGAGTAACATAACTACTCACATGAACTTTTTTGCACAAAGCTCAACTAGGTCTGTGAAAGTTTGCTTTCATCCAGGTCTGGATTGTGCTCAGACACCTCAGAGATAAGAACCTAAATAGAATTAGATTAGAATGTGGAAAAGTACCACCAAAATACCTCAGAAAAGACTATTCTTCTATTTCTGGCTTGGCTGAAAGCACGGATGCTGGAAATCTTGAGATCACTGAGATTTCCAGACCAAAGATATATGCATACCCTTGGATAAGGTTAAATAGCTAAACTGATTTGTTTGTACTTTGACCAGTCTTTATTCATAATAGCTTTTTTTGTTGCAGAAGAAAACTGAAACTTGGCAAATGCCATCGTTTCACTGGGGCAGAACAAATCTGCGCTATGAAAAAAAAGAGTGAGCTGAAGAAAATCAAAGAGTTATTGTGCATAGTGCAGATTAATGGAGGAGAGTGTAAGTCGTTCTCATGGAAGAATTTCTTCAGTAAGAAATAACAAGTGGAAATTAAGTCCACTCACTGAATGCTGCCAGTAGTAAATAAATTAACAATGATAATGTTCTACAGGCAGAGCAGGTGGATGGAGAAATTGATTAAACACTGTTTTATTTTCTTGAATAATCAAATTATGTCCTGTTGGTCACAAAGAGAATATGAGCAGAAAGTACACTAGAATGATCCTGTTAACTTTTACATCAGCTCTTTGTTAGCATTTATCTCACTAGTTGTTGTAACCAGTCATCTGTCACCTAATGAATAAATAGCAGTACAAATGCTTATGTTTCTTATGCCAATGAAGGAGCTGGATAAGTGTGAAGGAAAATGTATGATTTAAACTACTCTTATGCACTGAAGTTACTCAGTGTGTTCTGAATTTTGAAAATTTTACCCCATATTTAGAAGGCGTAGCATAGACTTAAAACTGTCTACTGTGCAAATGCAAACTTTCATATAGCTTTGGTATTTTAGCATCCGTATTTTTCAAATGTAGAAAGCATCCACTCCTTGGTGAGGACTATTTATATGTCAGCTTAGAGGTTTCAAAATTTGGTTGTGGAAGAAGGTATTTTTGTTTTTTTCAATATTGTAAATGAAAAGTGGCTACATGGATTTTGCACAGATTTACCCAAGGGAGAAAGGGAAATAAAGTTCAGGCTGAGACCAAACATGAAAAATTTCCGTGCTTTGGAAAGGTTTGAATAACTGAAAGAAGGTAATCTATATGGAAGGACCGTACCAGGAGAAGTTATCAAAAAATTGGTATTGTTAATATTGGGTTAGATTGGGCCAAGTAATTTCTCTGCCTCAAGAGCTCTGGGATTAATTCTTATTCAGAGAGTCACAATTCCTCTCTTGCTCCCGTCTTGCTCTGGAGTGAAATAAATTACTGCAGCCCTTCAAAGGGAACAGCTTACTTTCCCTCCTTGTTCCTGTCCAGAGAGCAATGCTCTGTCTACTCCTCACCCCTCCCTGCTCATTTCCTGCCCACTTGCTTGCCAGGAGGAGGATCTGGAGAGCAGGGGCAGGGCTCTGAATCAGGCTTGGACCTAAGATTCCCGACAGGCTCAGCATGGGAATGCAGAGGGGTCCTACTCCCCTGCTTGGCTGAGTAAGACAATGGCATAATGTACCCTGTTAGAATTTCATACCTCAAAGCGTGTGCAATAATTAAAGTTTAAAAAATCCCCGTTTTTTTAGAATTGCAAAACTCTTTACCTGAGCACTTAAACCAGACCATAAGGGGATAGTTTTCTCAGCAAAAACCTATTGCTGATGTGACACCACTGCTGTGGTACCTAACAGATTATACTCTGCAAAATTCTCAATGTTTTACCTGATATTCAGGGCCGGCGCAACCCATTAGGCGACCTAGACAGTCGCCTAGGGCGCTAACATTTGGGGGGGCGGCGACCGCGGTGGCCGGATCTTTGGCCACCCTGGTCATTGTCGGTATTTCGGGGGCGGGACCTTCCGCCGCCTAGGGCAGCAAAAAAGCTGGCGGCGCTCCTGCCGATACTGTGCAAAGCTCAGCCCAGATTCCCTGTGACTTAAAGCAATTCTGGGCTCATTCATGGTTTCATATGGATACCATATGAAACGTGTTAGTAGTGAAGACAATTTTGACTGCCTTTGGCTTTGAAGCTTGAAATTAAGTAGCATGATGTGGTGCAGGTCAAAACCAGACACAAAGTTTGCACAAAGTCCTGCCAGCTGAAACCATTGAGTTTAGCACAGATCTAAAATGGGTGTTGCAGCGGGGTGGGAGTCAAGTTGGGCTGAGGTTTGAACATTATGAGATATAAAGGGAAAATAGTTTTAAACCAATAATGTTCTCCTGGCTGTTGGGGAGCTTCAGGGCATATTGTTGCAGGTGAGGGAATTTTGTGTAAACAACTTGCAGGTCACCTTTAAGAAGAAATTGCTGATCTTCTGATTGGTTCTGGTGGTGTACTGCAGGTGCAATATATTGGACACCTGCTTTGCATGCACTTAGTACTTTAGCACCTAAAACTGCAGAGAAAGGCATGAGAAATAACCCAGTGGAATATCTGGCACGCATTCAACTTCCTTGTGATGGCCCCTATATTTTTCCTCACTTCATGCTTCAGTTCTGTCATTGCCATTTCACATTTCTTCTGTCTAGTAGTCTAGTTAAGCACTCAGGAATTGTAAATGTTAACACTGAATGAACACTCCTTTGTGTGAATGCATTATGGTACAGGCTTTTAGTACATGTTCACAAATTGCTTCTCAGATAATGCAATGTAGTAGAGTGTGTTCTACAATTTTAGATACTTATGAATATCTCTAAAATAACTTGGATCTTGTAATTATAGACTGAGGGCCACATCCTCAGTGTATATAAATCAGTGTAGCTCCAGAGGAGCGAGGCTGATTTACACTAGCCCTGAACTGTAACTATAACATTTTCTGACTTGATTTTGCATTATGAAAAATGCTTTAACATTTTAAAAATATTAATTTTCTAGGAGGGGAGAGGGCGAAGAAAGGTCCTGCGTTTTCTAACTAACAATCCCCTCTCTGTTAGTGTTTCAAGTTAAGGGACAGATTCATCAGAATGCTCAGGGTTCTTTGCACTGCTCTGACAATACAAAGCACCCGATAAACCTCATGGAATGCACACAGCAACACATTGGCTTGGCAGCAGTCAAGCAAGACAAGGCTGGCTTCGAGAAAGAGTTTAATAATGTAAAAATGCCTCCGTTCCCCTCCCACACCCAGAGGCAGATTAGGGTTTTGTGGGGCCTTGGGCCAGAGCAAGTGGGGGTCCCTCCTCACCCCTTCCACCTGTAGTCTCTCTCCCGCCACTGCCCATACCACATCTTTGTATGTAAAACAAAAGGGAACTTCAGTAAGGTACTGCAAGAAGCCCAGATGCATCGCTATTTTAAGATGTATTATGGACTGTTCCTGTTGAATGAAATGCTAACAGTCAAGTCTACTGTCCTGATACTCAGCTGCCTTTGTGCTATTTGTCCTGCTCTGCTGTGACAGGCTGTGCAGGCAACATAACTACCATTGGATGATACTTCAGAAGCATAATGTTAGTGTAATTGCTCCTGTCCCGCCATCTCTCCCAGCAGCCTGTATCGCTCAGGGTGGCGAGGTGAGTTAGTGAGCGTGGCAGTGGCTATCCTGTGCATCAGTGATCCCTAATGGTGTCATTCAGAGAAGCCTTCAAGCCAGTTAGCTCAGGAGCAGAGAAGCATAATGGCGGCTTAAAACCACTTTGCATTCTCTCTTCCGAGTTGTACTGTGTACTCCGCACACAGGTGAGGATCAGGGCCTTCCCTGTGGTCTTTTCCAGGTGACTGGTTACCACTGTGTCAGAGAGACAGGAGATGAGAACTGCTAATGGATGGCTTTTATTCCTCTTTGCTTATTGAGCAGTGCTTTAAAAGAATGACCTAACTTTTGTTCAGTTCTTGGTCATTTATTGTAATAGCATTAAGCATGTGGAACTCATTTAGTATTAATATGATTGTCCTAAGTACTTTGATAGAATTTCTGCTGTAATTCAGTATTAATTACGCAGACCATTAGTGGGGGCTAGATGATTCTTTGTGCTATACAAATTAGAAAATCCCTCTCCTATTCTGTAAATTATGAGAATTTGTTTTCCCAAGCATTTAAAATGTGAGCATCTGAAATGTCATTCATAGAGGCTGATGGGGTGTTTGTTCCTATGGGAGGACAACACATGGCAGAAGGGACTGTTAAGAGCATCCAAGGCTTTTTACCTGTAGGTTGTTGTTTCAAATCCCACTCTTCCTACTAATTACCATGTAATGGCTCCTCAGTGGCCTATGCGATATTAAATGCAACTTCAGTCCAATTCCTGGTGCATTATATAAGGAACTGAGTAGAATAAATAGCACAGAGTAGAGCTGGGCGAGTATTGGATTTTTCATCAT